TTAGTCTTGGTGTAAACAATGCTCGCCTGAATGTATAGCTTGAAATTCACGTAAACGAGGAACAACCTGCAAAACACGAAATAATAAAGTATTAAATAAGTATATTTTGCTGGATCACTATATGCAAACTGTCGTTTAGACGAAAGAAACATTCCTCTCACCTGTGATAGAGTTTCTCATTTCTAGTGATCATTCTCAAACATCCGCCACCTTCGTAGGAGAAATCTTCACAGTACTCGAAGGTGTTCCCTCGAAGAACCATCGATTTGTCCGTAAGGTTCTCGTCCTCTTCGATGATATGCCAGCCTTTTAAGTACAGTTCTTCTATCCGTGTCATCGGAATTATAATATTATTCCCATTATCTCTATTATCTATGCAGTCTTTCTTATCGATCACAGGCTTTTCTGCCATAAGACGTTCGTACGTTGTAGCTTTCAAATCCAAAATTCGTACGGGTACCGAGAGCTGTGGCTGTTGCAGTCGGAGTTCGTAAAATCCTTTTCTGTTGTTCAATCTCTTTGGTAAAGAATTTTCCTATATACGAATGGAGATAAACACGTTTCGTGAATTTTTGAAATCGTGCTTGCGACTAACTTTACAAGCTATTTTATCAATCGCTCAATTTCACCTGGCCATTATAATAGTAGCGGCTACCGGCGCCGCGACAGAAAGTAGACCGGAATACTTCATCCTCGTAGATAGGTACATGCACATGTAAGTGTGGGAATAATAAGGACCAAAACACGTCGTCCACCACATTGAAGTGCTTCGGTCCAAAGTGCTCGTGCGTCCAAGCCGGTGCGAAGATAGCAATGGAAAAGTTATATTTCCGTATCATATCCAGAGCCTATGAAGAAGAAACATAAGGAAACATTTATTTGTGCATTATCTCGATTGTACGAAATTCTTACAAGGGACAATACCCAAGTATGACACGCCATTTTTTTTTAAACTCAACATGCATATAGCATATGACATGACATTTCATATTTGATATTTTATATCGGCCCGTTTTTTAATTTGCACAATTATTTAGACGATTATTTAAACAAAACTCGAAATGGCGATGTACGTAAAAACTGATATTTATATCGCCCATAACATGTAAATCTAAAATACATAAACCTAAAAACTACAAGCATGTAAACTCATGCACTCAAAATCCATAACTCGAAAACCAATAAACCCGTAAACCTGAAATCCATAAGTGCAAAACCTATAAACAATCGTCTAAATAATTGTGCAAATTAAAGAACAGGCCGATATAAAATATCAAATATGAAATGTCATGTCATATGCTATGTGCATGTTGAGTTTCAAGAAAAATGGCGTGACACTCGAGTAATGTCCCTTGTTAGTAATACCAAATATAATAGTTACCTGTGTGCAGTTGAACTTGCCAATACCTGAAGTACCTCTCGCGAAGATGTCCAATCCTACGTAAACATCTCTATGGTCACGTTGTAACTGTTTCACCATTTCACTGGTATTTTCGAGATGGTTTTCTGTCCATTGGTAGTTTAAATATATACCGTCGCAATTCATGAAGAAGTCTCTGAGAAGAAAATAAACCTCATTACGATGCGCTGTAAATAACATAAACACGATTTAAAGAAAACTGAGGGATAAAAAGATAAATTACTTATTTTCCTCGTCGAGTTTATTCTGCCACTTTAAAAAGCCTGTTTTGACTAAGCAGTCATACCAGATCACTTCAGAGTTCTCGACTTCCTTATGAAGGGTCTCAGTCAGGTACTTAACAAAATAAAGCACCTTATCCACTGCGTTAGGTACTGATTTCAGATCAAAATCTTTATTTTGGAAATTGGTCTCAAAGTTCAAGAGCCAACCATCAAATCCGTATTGTTTTGTAAGGATTACTAAAGAATCCGCGAATGTTTTTAATTTGTCGTTTGATTGGACCATTTCTTGCCAGAACAGATGTCCAGATGCATCATTTTCCGTGATGATGGTGCCCAATATTTTCACACCATGTTTGTGGGCTGCGCATATCCAACCATAGGGTGGGATAGTTACTAAATGATGACTAAAGTAAATAAACGTATCTATTGCATACCAATTGTAAAATAAGTAAGAATCATGGGATGTAGAACCCCAGAAATATCTGCAAAAAAAATAGGCCAAAGAGATAATGCAAACAATGAACTTGAGCATATATTAACTTATACAGTAGATCATAAATGTATATGTTTGAATATTACCTATCTTCCAGGTAACCACCTTTCATATCATGACAAACTATAGTCTTAGGACGTTTCTCCTTGTCCATTCTTTGTAGGTAAGCATTTTTCTTAGTAATCTCTAACCCAAGGTATGTAAAATCTACAGATTCTATAATATCTGCCTCTGGATATGGTACTAATTTGTTGACAGCACAGTATAAATCAAACGATGTATTAAAAGGCTTTGATTCTCTTGGTTTATCTGCCTCATCGCTCATCATCTTATCACTTTCACTCTGTTCAATTTCTAACTTATCTAGTTCATTGCTTATCATCCTGTCACTTTCATTCTGTTCAGTTTCCAACTTAACTGATTTATCATTTATCAGTCTATCACATTTATTCTGTTCAGTTTCTAACTTATCTGACTTGCCGCTCACTATTCTCTCATCTTCATTCTGCTTAGTTTCTGATAAACTGCTGTTCTCCATTGTTGCACTGCAGCCTTTCAGTAATGCACTGAAAATAATATTTCTTACTTTATAGGCATCGCCGGAAAAGCGTGCACAGTATGTGATAATCAGTTAAAAAAAGTTTGATAAGCATTCAGTATAGCAATATCAATGTGTCAATTACATAATCTGCCGTCAGTCGTTGCGATAAGTTAAGATAACGAGTAGTAACGGATGCAGCAGAAATTTATGTTAGCAGGACCGTTAGCAGAACAAAAGATTTCTCTATTGACAAATGTCACGTTAAGTGTCAAGTCAAAAACATATATATATATATATATATATATATATATATATATATATATATATATATATATATATATATATA